AATTTTATTTTGATAATCTATCAAATGAAGGGCAGTATTCTTTTACTGGAAACACTACTTCCTTTTGAGCAGAGAAGGAGGAGAAGAAACGAAGAAGTGACCTTACATATTGAGTCTGAACAAAGCAGCCTTAGGAAGCAGCTCTATAAGGAATACATAAAATCTAGGCAACTTTTGAAAGTAAAACCAACCAAAGACATGACAGGAACAGAAAATGAGGAGGGAGAAAAAGAAAAAGTGTACTCAAGTAGAATGTGTCAGGGCAAACGGCTCTTTCTTTTCTCCCTTCTTTCCATCTCCTTTAGTAACCACTGATTTCAGACAAGGGAAGGATGGTGTAGGAGGAGGCTGGGGTACGGATGCTGGGGCTGGGAGGCTCCGTGCGGCCATTGTGGGGATGCRGCCGGGGGCAACGGCTGGTGTCCATGGTGACACCACCACGCGCGGTGCTTGGGGCTGGTGGCGGTTGGTGGCGGCCGCGGTGCCAGTGTCACCACCCTGCACAGGGCCACAGGTGGGCAGACGCTGGGGCATGGGAGCGCAGGGCGGTGTGCTCGGCACCAAGTGTGGGGCTGAGGCGGCATGAAGGGCGCGGGGCCTTCACCCATCACACGGTGTGAATGTGGGGCAACTGCCACAGCCATTCTGGCGTTGCCACCATGAAACTCCATGTCTGTGGTGTGTGAGGAGTCTCTGTGGTACTGTGAGCTGTTTCTTAATCCATGTGCCCACTCCAGGCTCCGGGATGTTGTGGTTATGTCTTGCTATGTGTCATTGTCCTAGACCTAGCACCATCCCCGTGGATGGGAGCTCCATCTATGCTTTCTCTCTCTCCCTCTCTCTCTCCCTCTCTCTCTGCCTCCATAGCCAACACAAATTTCCCTGCGTCCCAGGAAGCTCTGTTTGGCTCCACTTAACATCTTTATCATGTGTCTGATCTCTTTTGCACCTTCATCTTCCCTTGGTAAAAACATCCCCCCTTGCTCTCTCAGGTGGCATGAAGAACAGAGTTGACAATGTGGTGAACAACTCTTCCATGCTACAAGTAGCAGTTTCGCATTTTTTTTCCCCTCAGATGGTCTACTCGATAAATATAGCCAGCTAAATCCAGAGTAACTGCTTTCAGCCTGCATTTAGCATTCAAGTGGGCTGCTTCTATTTTAGGGCTGAGGAAGGATTCATGTGCCTGAAATCTTGTCCAAGTTTTTCTAACTATATTAGTTGGTCTAATAAAAGAGACTACCTCTTCCTACACACCCTCTCTTACTCTGGCTGCAGTAACACAATCAGTGCTTTCCCATTGCATTTCTGCCACCTGCAGTGCACAATTTTAATGCACAAGGCCAAGGATGAAATGAAGCATATTGGAGTATTTTAAGTCTTTCCTGTGTTTCATTTGCAAGCTAAAAATGTTCCTAGTAAAAGGCTAGGTGAGAAGGCACCTTTGGAGGTCTTCAGTTCATCTCCTGCTCCAAGCTAGGCTAACACCCTTCAGTCAGATTCTCTGGGCCTTAGCCAGTAGAGCTGTGTTTCTAAGGACAGAGACTTCACAGCCTCTCTGTGCACATGCTTCAGGGCTGAACTATTCTCACTGTGAAGAACTTTTTCATTATGTCCAACCTGTTCTTTCTTTTATCTTTCTCTCTTGTTGAAAAATATGGGTATTGTCACATACCCTTTCTCTCTTCCTTCTCTTCCACAAAGGGTTATAGAAGACTTTGGTTTGTTTCCTGCTCGCCTTAGAGGTCTCAGCTCCAGGCTATCCAAATCCTCCTTTACCTGAGGTGCACCCTGCTCCAGTCCTTTTGCAACCTCAGTGCTTCTCTGCTGGACTCTCTGCAGTTTGCTGGAATGTCTTTTGTGCTGGAGGAACAATGACTCAACACAGTTCCTGGTGTAGCCTGTGGGGAATTAGTATTTTCCTTTGCTGGCTGCATGCTTGCTTACGCAACTAGGTGTGCAACCAGCTTTCATCAAGACAAAGGGACATTTTCTCACAAGGACCCTCACTTCTTTTTTTTTCTGCAAAGCTGCTATCTATCCAGTCATTTCCCCCAATCCTGCTGCTGTGTGGGATTAGTCCATCCCAGATACAGACCTTGTATATGTCCTTGTTGTCCTTAACGATGTTTCTATTGGCCAATTCTTGCAGCCTGTCAAAGCCTTGCTGAGCGATTTTTCTACTCCCACTTTTTGTGGGGGTAGTTCCCCACAGATAAGTATGTAGTTTCCTGATCTCTTGTATTTATGCTATACAAATATGTTTGAAGACCTTGTTCCTTGGAGCAATATGATTTTGTTTTTGTAGACTGAAGAGGTAAATGGTGACAGACATAGTGGAATAAGCTTTGAGAAGTACTCTGCCTTTACCAGCAACGGTGGCCATGTTGAAAGGACAAGACCCTGTCCTCCCTGGCCTGATGCCCAGCACCTGTGGCATTTCCACGCCACTCATCCTGTCAGCCTTCCATCTACAGCAAGAAATGTGGAGTGCTATAGCACAGATCTGTCCTCAGAAAGCAAATGTAGCCTCTGAGGTGTTCACCTGTGCTAGGCACCTGCTGAGATAGTCTCAGTCATGAGACAAATTAGAGAATTTCTKCTCCTGGACAGGTCAAGGAAAGCTTTATATAACACAGTTAGCTTCATTTTGCTTCATGACTTACCATATGTCTTGCCTCATCTCCTGTCTACTTAGATCCTAAAGCTTCAGCTCAAATTAAGGGWGCTTCTGTGGTGATATTTTGAACCTACTGTGATGTATCCAAAAATGGCAGCATCTGAGAATGTGTTTAGCCTAGTCTGGCTCTAGACCTCACTCAGGACATTCCCCAGAATTCTTCTTTTAATGTTCTAGATGGGCAAACAGTATTAGTTCTTTTTCTGCCCTATGCCTAATTCTAGATCTACACTTCTAGATGATCTCTAGAGGTCCCTTCCAACCTTGAATATTCTGTGATTCTGTGATTTCTTGTATAAATAATGGCAACTTCTGTAAGAGGATTTTTGGCTTCATTTAGAGAAAGAAAAGATGCGTCAATATAATTGGTTATCCTCCTCACTAGCTGTTGCCACTGCCTTTCCCCTGCTTGACACCCTGCAATATGTTCTTCTTTTTTCCTTCACAGGTTTCTATGAAAAAAATCACAGCCTTATTATTTTATTCATTTCCGTCCCACCAGCACAAGACAGTCACAGTAACAATTAAACTGTTCTGGAATTAGAAGTGACAATTTAAAAAGAAGAAAGGATAGGAATGGCATGTCAGTGAGAAAGAACTGAATGATTTATTTTCTTCACCCTTGTTCCCTGTGTCGTATTGTTGTTGAAGGAATAATATGGTCCTGCCTGATTAGATTTGTTTATGAAATATACTCTGTTCTATCTAAAACCCCAAGCTTTTTTTCTACTTTCCCCTAATGCTCTCCCCTCTAGAAAGTCAATTCCACTAAATATATTGTGCGTCACTATATTAAACAAGGCTTTGACTGCATGACATTTAAATATGTTCTTCAAACATGGTTTAACAGCCAAGGATGGTAGGTCAGTGTTGTTGATTTCTATTAACATACTGTTGAAGCTGACATATCAGAATTGACTGTCTGGAAGCCTGTATATGTTCCCAGTTTCCAGGTAGCAAGAGCACTTAAAATTTGCTTTTGGCCATCCCAGACTTCTCATTCCCACTCATTTGGAAACAGGTAAAGCAAGGATTGCTCTTAACACTGGAAACATTGTTTTCGTATCTAAAGTACTAGATCCTTTGCAGTTATACTAAAATTGTGTGGGKTTTTTTTTGTTTGTTTGTTTCTCTCTMTATATTGCTTCCATTGCTCCTGCAGGCTAAAATGGATTTCCTTGCACACCAACTTTTTATTCTCAGTTGTGGTTTTGATTCAATCTCCTCTGGAATCCTCCAGTTGTCCTAAATTTTTCCAGAGAGCAGTGCCTGAAAYTGGACACAATATTTGGCTGAAGCCTCTTCTGTTCTGGGCACACTGAAAGTATTTCCACTTTCCACACATTAAGCACCTGTTCGTTCATCCCAATATGATACTTGTTCACTGGCATGCATAGTGTTGATTTGTGTTTGCCTTATGATCCAATATATTCCCCAGATATTTTGTAAATAATTTCCTACAGAGGCAGCTGTTGCTGACCTCTGGGCAGCTGATTTTTTCTGCACATATTAGGGATCATCCATCTGTTTTCAGAATTTCTTCAACTTATCAAGAGCATTTTGAATTCTAGTCTTGTCCATGATAACATTTGCCAATTTTCCCCGTTTCATGTCATCTGTCACTTTTTCGGAAGTTAAAGACACTGAGCTCCTTCTCTTCTCTCTCCCCTCGCCTCTTCCTTCAGAGATGGACCCTGCAGTTGCACTGTTCCCACCATCGGTGACTCATCTGTCCCCAGCTGTCCTTCTCAAAATAACTGTTAGCRGTTCTGAGACTGCTTCAGCCAGCTTTTCACATATGCCAGACAGATGTTTATCAGGTTCAGCCAAATTAGTAACATATTACTCCAAGTACTGCCTAATGTGCTTACTCCTTGTMAAGGCTATATTTTATAGCATTTATTTACCCTTCTCTCACTGGTGTTGCCTGTGCTAGTCACCTTTTACCTTTTCAGTGATAAGTGAAGGAAAAGCTTACTTTGCAGTATTTGCTCTCTTCCGTCCTCTTCTCCATGGAGCAATATTCCTTTGCTCTTTCACTTAATATTTATGGTACTGATAATGACGATGTCTTATAATGTTTAAAACAAAGAGTGGTGTTTCCTGAACAATCCCTGTGCAGGGATTATGTCTCTTTATAAAGAGAAACCTCTCCCCCATTTTGGAATGACCCTGCTGTCACTGAAATGGCACTGCTGGCTTTCCTGGTCCTGGGCACACCTTGCCACCGGTGAGCTGATGCCATCTCTCCATGTCTGCCACCACAGGGCAGAATCAACTCTCCTGGAAAATCACTGCAGCACTGCTAATATAGTGGAGGGGAAAAAAAGCAGACTAACTTGACKGAGGAGGTAAGAAAGGATAAGAGGGACCTGTATTGTCCACATTAGCTTGTCACCATCTTAAGAAGGTGAGGATGGCTGCACAGTTGGGCCAAAAGGAGAGCAACTTGACTCATCAAAGCTACCAGCAGTGAGAGCAAGTGCCACCTTGGCATCATGTTATATGCTACAAATGAACACAAACATATTTTTGTCTTCCTCATTGGCTGAGGTCAGGTTGTGCCCTTGCCCTTCTAGTATGGCCTCCTGCAGGCTCCAAGTTCTCTGTATGTTGTGTAGGTATTTGCCAGAGTATGCTGCTGTTTTAAGATCTTTGTGATGCATGGAGATCTGGCATAAGCAACAATTTTTGCCTGGCACATTTGGAGTTGCACTGTTATCTTCTAGACTGGCATCCTTAAGSACATAGCTTCAGAAACCTCTTGTCCTCAAAATCTACTGCTGTGGGATTTATTGTATCATCACTTCAGGGAGAAAAAAAAAATCCTCAACAGAAACATAAGAAATTCCATTTAAACATGTCAAAAAAACATTTTCATTGCAAAGGTGATCAAATACTGGAGCTGGTTACCTGTAGAGTTTGCAGGTCTGCATCCTCAGAGATGATCCAAACCCATCTGGACATGGTCCTGAGCAACCTGCTCTAGCTGACTTTACTCTTTGATTTTGTGAATTTTTGAGAGAAACAGAGCATAATGATTCAGATGATCAGAGCAATGGAGAAACTATCTTAAAAAAAGTTTTTAGATGAACAAGGTAATACATAYTGAACTTTGTTCCTTTCTTTGGGCAAAAGCAAGCTTCAAAGAAGCCATGATTCCTCTGTGTAAAGTATATTTTGAGAAGCATCTGACAAGGAAAGAATACTGAAGCTGAAGAACTACATTGGTGCAAGATTAGCATGTAACAAATTATAACCTGACATGGAAGAAAGTTAGATTTAAATTAGGAGGACTGAGTTTCTAAAGCAACACTCCAGTAAGAATAGTAGGAGTTTCTGAAATGGCTTATTTGAAATACAGTAGAAGAGGATCAGTCTCAGGCCTGGTATTAAATAACTAGTAGAACAAGTTGTTGTCTGAAGCAGCAAAATACAGATACTGAGCATAGCAGGAACCTAGCTAGTCTAGATCTGATTACCTGTATATTGCCACATACAGAAGAAATATAGCAGATAACTCATTTTAAAATAACTTCCTACAGAACTGGTAGAGTTTTGAACTTTGCTGCCATCTAAAGCACTTTTTTTTTTTTTCTTTTAAGGTGGATTTTTTCTGTCTTCTTTCTTTTAAGCTACAGTAGTTCACCAATGGAGAGAAGCTGGAAAATAAGGAGTCTGACTCATCTCCTAGATAGCATGGAAATAGCCCACAAAAATGATATCGCACTTTACACCTCAGGACATTTAAACCATAACAAGCTTTATAAACCTCCAGAGARAATAAAACAGGGACAGTGGGATTCTTCCAGGAAGCAAACCAGCTTCATGAGAGAAAGAGATCAATTCCTGACTCAAAATGAAAGTGCTAAGAAGATGACAAAATTTTCAAGTAACGTTTATTCCAACATCCCTCCACTTCCAGCACATACAGACTCTTCCTTCCCTACCAAGAAACATCCACAATCATCTGTGACTAGGGTTGGCCCCCCAGCAKATGTATCATCAACTCCACTGGAAAGTTTAAACTTGAAAGAGCCTAAAAAGAAAGTGGAGGAGGGAACTGACAGACTCAGTACGTGTCTCAAAAGACATGAGTTAGATGTGCCAGAGATTATGGTGCTAAAAAACAAACCCGTGAAGAACATCCGACAGTGTGTTGCTGAACCTGCCAAGGAGGAATACCAGTTTATACCTTCCTATTTGGTCGGTGTAACTAAAACTGATCAGTTTAACAAGTTCCTACATTTCCAGAGGGAGTTCATAGCAAAGCATGAATTACTACAGAACGATTTCACAGTGAGCAAAATATCAGAGCAGCATGAAATGAAATTAACTAAGGTAAGAGAAAAGAGTCCCAGAATTGACAGAAATGGAAAGGTAAATTTTCCAAAATCTTTCTGAGAGAATGGATTGTTCTAGAGCTGGTTATGTGAGTTTCAGGAAAAAAAAAAAAAAAAAGGAATGGTTTAAGCAAAATCTCCTGTGTCTTCYGCTTGTCAGAGAGCTGATCTCATGGCTCAGTCATCCACTTGCAAGATGCATGTATAATGTGCTCCAAAAACTGGAGCCCAAAGCTGTGCTCTACCATGGCCTCTTCCACATCTTCATGTGGAAGTATGGGTTAGACAAAAGGTAAAGCAGAATCTGGGCCAGCAGCTCCACAGGAACCAGCCTCTTGTCTGGCAGCAGCAAGAAAAAAGAARCTACCTTCTTAATGTGTGCTGTGGAGTATGTCTTTGCACATCAACATTGTTAATAGGATGCAGGAGTAATTTTGCTGAATTAATGCACCTAGCAGAAGCTGCTGAGGTGCTCGAGTTGAGGCTCCCTTGGAGAAGCAGTAGCAGTCTCATCAATCCCCCCAAAGCCACCTGCAGGAGCTAAGGAGCAGGACTAAGATACTGAATTCAAAGAAGTTAGCTATGGAGTTTAATGAGAGCTGTTCAGCCTAGGTAACCTAAGAAATGACTACTGCTAGTGTGAGCTGGAAAAGAATGGGCATTTCATGTAGGTAAGAGTTACTTTTTGAAAGAGGCACCTCACCCCTCAATGATGGCCAGGTCTTGCTTATTTGTAAGATGCCAGCTGATTTATCAGATGAGTAAGTAGTTCTATTTGCAGGGTTAGGGAAGTGGTGATTGTTGATGGGGAAAACATTATCAGGTTTGATAGAAACAATCTTTCCACTAGTGGTACTGAATATAGTAGAAAATGGTAAAGAAATGAGCAAGGGAACAAGCAGAGCTCTTTCTCGGATGCCTCCAGCAAGCTACCTAAACTTTTCAAGAAAAGCTGTGTGCAATGAGGAAAGTCAGGGGATAAATTCTACATGAGTAACCAGCATGTTYTACTAGCCCCTATAAGGTATCATCTGCCATGCTGTTAACCCACTTGCCAGAAGGTTGGTTACTTCGCATCTCAGTAAATATCCCCAGACAACCTTTTCCTCTAGCCTTGTGGGTTGAGAGGCAGAAGAAAAAGGATGGGAGAAGGGGGTAAAAATAAAGGCGAATTACTGTGGTATGAACAACTTGATCTTGCAATTTTTCCAGAAAACATTTTCCCCAGAAAAACTTTGAATCTATTTTTGGGGAGTTACTGGAGCTCCAGCGAAGTTTAGCAGAAAGCTGTACTAACTAGAACCAATGGCAATCTGGGGCTTATGAATAAATGGACAAATTCTTTATTAACCTTGGTTTGCAACTTGGATATTTGCAAAAACTCTAGAGAAAATGTTCCTATGGAAGAGGAAGTAGCATAGGATGCCAATGAGACATTTTCCTTCTGYATCCAAGGTTTGTTACTCACAGCTAACATGTAGAATCATGGAGTTCTGTAGTATGATTTTRACTGTTGCATTCCTTAGCTAGGGTTTCTTGGGTTATTTATTTATTTGTTTACCAATCTTGTCTCTCTGAGTTACTAATTGCTTTAGGACTTGCAAAATGTTTCAAGGGCTGCTTCTTTCAGCCCTGGAGATGATCTTTCGAAATCAGTAGACTCATTTGTCCTTATGGAAGGACTGGTTGTAAGCACGTGAGTAAGACGTTTTGCAGGAAGTGCAGGCCTCTGCCCAACAGGTCTGAGTCTTCTTTGATTTCTGTTCTTTTTGTTGGTCAGTATACTCTGTCTCATTGAATGTGAATTTTCTTCTTACTGATCAAAATATAGACCATAGACTTGATATCCTAGCCATTTATTCTTCAGTTCAGAACTCTTTCATGATACATCTTACCACATACATTCACTACCTTTATAGAGTGAACAACATGAATTTGAACCAATTAACATATGTTCTGACAGTAGCTGCTTTAGAGCATCTTCTCTGCATACACTTGTATAGCTATTCATGCTGATGATTGTACAGGAGCTCCAGAAAATCGGCGACTGTGATCCCTGCCATTTCAAAAGACTACATGTTGTTGAGAAAGTGTTTGAAGATATTTGCAACAGCTCTCTGATTTTTGGTGATATTTTGAAGGAAATTAAGGTAAGAAACTTTCCTAAGTTTCACATGGCACTCTCCTCCAGCGTGCTGTAGGCTACAGGACAACCTCATCATATGCAATGCTGACCTTTGCACTCACTTTAACATGTCTTTATGATCAAGTGGGAGAGGCAGTCAGCTACTGAGAGATGTATGAGTGCCTTTCCAAACTTTCCACTAATGCACTGAATTGCATAAACAGATACCAAACATTTGGCTACGACTTAAGCATTTTGATGAAAGCATCACTAAAAGCAAACAAAACAAAACAAAA